TGTGTGTGTGTGTGTGTGTGTGTGTGTGTGATCTCCATCTTAGGTATTATCATGCAGATGAATGAAAAAACAGTTATGTGTTTAAGAGCACAGCTCATGAGATCACGGTGAAAACTATCCGCACTGTTCATATTGCTGAAATTAGAACAATTTCATTTGAGTGTAATAAAAACTTTATTAAGGAAATATATGTTTTTAAAGTTGATGAATGTAAATGAATTGACCAGAACAAAAGCAAACAGCACCTTCAAACTATGAAACCAATTCAAAACATCAAAATTAAAAATGGACTGCTGTTCAGACTTCCCATGCTTTGATGTCCATCCGAGGTCTGATTAATTTCAGGACGGGGTCCAAAGTTAACATCATTATCCATCTGTTCTCTTTGTTCTTCAGCCATTTCACTTTGAACCCCACAGTGCAGGCTGTGAAATTCTTGACACAGAAGCCACAGTATGTTCAAGACACCAAAAGCTAAAGTGTTGTAAGACGTTTTGTTGCGGTCATCCAGGTCCAGGTCATCTCTGAGGTCACTGAGCCAATTTAGAATTAGATAGCTTGGTAACCGACACTTTTGTTCCTCCTCCGCGCAGCAACTGTCACCATATTGAGCACAAAAATAAGATGTGCTTTCCCCCCCCCCAGCGTTCAACCTCAGCGCAATTGTCAGTAAAATGCATGTTGCATTAGTAAATCAGTTTGTGTACCTGATTTAATTAAATAAATGAAAAGCTAATGATGAATGATCGATAAAAGTACAGACTTTAATTGTGTATTTCAAATGGTTTAGCGAAGAAACTGCATTAAATCTTTTGGAATGATAACTATTTTATATGTAGTTATGACAAGTAAGGGAGATCAAAAGGTTTAGAGTTTTATCCATTGTATCATTCAATCACTGTTCACAGGAACTTTTTATTTGTGACAGCAACACAATACAGTACAGCTCTCAGTAAATGGAAGTGAAGCCATCAATAGGATAAACCAACCAAACACATATTGTAAGATAAAACCCTACAATGTTAGAGAGAACCTCAGCAATCATGTGATCCCCTGTGAGCACAAACTTAGATCGTTGGGATAATGTTGTAGTATGAGGTATGATGGGCCCTGATTCAATTCAACATTCTCACAGATTTGGAGATAAATAATAACACAAACACACCATGAAAATAACTTAGATGCTTCTTAAGGCAAATAAAAGGAATGTTTTTAAAGGGCTGACCCCAGGAAAAGTCAGGCTTTGGTCAGGTCCTGGAGTTCCAGATTTTTGGCAGTCATTGACTGGTTTTCAGCTTCTGCTGTGAACATTGCGATGAGTTATTGCTGACATGTTTTCCGTGTGTTTAGAAAATCACAGGCTAGAGTCTTCATATCAAAATCACCTGGTGCTCAAAGTCTTGGTGGTGAGTGAAATGAGTTATCCACAGCTTTCTGCCAACTGTACCCTTTATTGATGAGAGTGCAGCCTTTCTTATCACCACCTCACTTCTCATAACTGCCTTAACTCTTTTTTTCTTTAGTTCAACTTCTTCAACTGTTTCGCGTCGCTCTTCTACATTGCCTTTGTCATGCAGGACATGGAGCTTCTCAGACAGGTAGGTCTGCCTCCTTCGTTCCTTTTTTGATTCTACTTCCCATCGTTCTGCTCCTCTAGTTTTTACAGTTCCTTTCTTTTGTTTCTCTCACCTCCCTCTACCCTGGTTTCTGTTGATATTTCTTTGTGTCTGCGCTCTTTCCAGAGTTTGGCGACCTTGTTGATCACCAGTCAGATCTTGAATCAGTTCATGGAGGCCTTCCTGCCCTACTGGCTGCAGAGGAGACGCAACAAAAAGATGATTCGCAAAATCCAGAAGAGAAGACTGTACGAGGAGAAAGAGCTTCCGCTGGTAGAGCAGGTCCGGCTCGAGGCCGACATGAGCACATACTTGGTCAGTACATGTGATCTTTAATCAGAAATCAAATGACGTCTTCTGCGACGTTCTTTAATTTGTGTCTGTCTGTGCTCTCATTCCTGCTCAGGGAACATTTGATGACTACCTGGAGCTCTTCCTGCTGTTTGGTTATGTCAGTCTGTTCTCCTGTGTCTTTCCTCTGGCGGCTGTCCTTGTGGTGTTAAACAACATCACCGAGGTTTACTCTGACGCCTTCAAGATGTGTCGAGTGTTCAAACGACCCTTTGCTGACCCAGCTGCAAACATTGGAGTCTGGCAGGTATTTTCATTTAGTTTTGAATGCAGTTGCTGATGTTCATGAGAAAAGAATGATTTTTGTTAGTTTTTTATTTAACAAATATTGCTGTACAACTATAAACTACCAAAGGACACAGATATCCTCCACATCCTTACTGCTATATTGGACGTCCTTCAGAAATGATATTGGGGTACTCTGAACATTAAAGCTTTCTGTGGACAGGTCATTGTATTTTTTTAACATGCTGTCCTAATCTAAACAGAGCTCCTCCATTAAAAATGACATATGACTGACTCTGTGCTGTGCCCAGCATCCAGGTATGGTTTCCATTCGTGGAAACGAATAACTGTCGCTGTCTTTCTACCTCTGTGTGCAGCTTGCCTTTGAAGCCATGAGTGTGATAGCTGTTGTGACCAACTGTGCACTGATTGGCATGTCTCCACAAGTCAGATCCTACTTCCCCGAGTCAGAGACACAGCTCATACTGTGTACAGTGGCTGCTGAGGTAATTTACGTACACACACACACGCGCGCACACACACGCACACGCACACACACACACGTAATGCGTGACCTCAGACTGGTAAACAAAGGTCAGATTTATGTAGTATTTTGGAGTAACTTTGTGATGTTATGAAACAAAACTTGACTAGTCTTGTATAAGAAATTTCAAAAGTGACACAACTGAAACTTGGTTTGGCAGAAAGTAAATGGTATATTTATAATAGCAGAAATACCACAGCAGCAGAAATGACTCCATTGATGATGGCACAAGCATCTCACAGAGCCATGCCGCTGTGTATGTTTTGCCAGGAGTGGAACAAACACGTCTAAATGGAATGCTAGGAAGCAATTTGTTATACCTCCTTTGTGATATAATACAGTATATAATACGAGTATAATACGCCTGTTTTGAAAAAACTGTATTCTCCATTCTGATAGGTTATAATTATATGTAGTTAGTTAGATATAGTGATAACTGTGCAGTCATTCTTTTTGCATGGTTATAGAGGCAATTTTGCCATTCACTTTCATTTAAGGATCAGTGAATTTACCAAGGAAGACAACACAAAAATTGGACTTGTAGCATTATTCCTGTATTTTTTATTTTCTATAGCTCTCATAATCATTTTTGGATACATTAGTGTTTAATAGCGTTCTTGTTAACACCGCCCTGTTCTGTAGTTGTGCCAGATGCAGATTTTTGTTCACTAGATGGAGCCACAGCCCAAAGCAAGGGCTGAGGGTGACGGGCAGAGTGGAGAGTGTGTGTGTGTCCGCACATAAATGAAATTTGCACTGTGCGTATTCAGCCTATAATTGTTTGAGCTTGTGTGTGTGTGTGTGTGTGTGTGTGTGTGTTAATTTGAGCATTCACGCTGCAGATTCCTCTTCTCCTGATTCTACCTCTATTAACATAACGTCAGCCCGCTCCCCTTTTCTATGTGCCCTGTTCAAACAGTGCAGCCTAACACACCTCCTGCCTCCGGAGGGGGGGGGCTCAAAATAACAGCACAAACAGGTGAGGATGTAGTGAATGGGAGGTGCTGCAGTATGGAGATTTCTTTTAAGGACATTCATAAAGAAAACAGTTGTACGTTTGTGCTGCTTTAACAACCTCCTGAGGGACGATTGTTTTAACTGTCTGGTTGCTGCCTGAGACTGTAAATGCTCTTTGAAATACTGTAGCTCACTGTACAACATCTCTCTGCTGATGCCAAGGCAGAAACTGGGTCACATCGATCGTCTGCATGTTGAACGTGTGGTCGGCACACACAGCTGAAAACTCTGCAGTTCACAGAGAAGTTGTTCTTTGTGGGTGATATTTCTCCTGCAGCAGCTGCCAGGATAAGCCTGGGTTTGTTTAAACCTTTCTTTTTGCTGGGAGTTCTCTATTAGTGTGAGATGGATTGAATCGTTTTAGCCTTCCTTTGTCTCATGGGCTGCAGAATCTGCCTCCTAGATGTGTCTTTTGTCCAAAGAGTCACCATTTGGAAAAGATGATCGGTCAGAGTTTATGCATCTGCTACGGTCTGCTGTTGAAATTGAAAGTGGGAGAAATGGGATGGTATGTGTCTCTTTCACAGTGTATGGTGATAAATAGGAAATCCAAATAGAATCAAGTGAATTGAATCATCAAACCCCTCTGGAGCCCTTTGTGAGGGAGCTGTGGTGTTAACAGATTCCGCTTTGAGAACCATGGGTCTGATGACAACATGCTACATTATACATGATCTGATGACACAGCTCACTGATTTTTTTTGTTGTTAACTTTACTTACTGACGGGGTGTAACAGCTCTGTGTTTGGATTAATTTCCAAGTGCAGATGTTACTGATGACAATAGGTCGTTTCGCAGGTAACTGCTCATGCACCATCAATGGCATGCAGAGACTTTTACAGATGGGTGAGATGAGTGGGTGAACCAACTGCATTCCAGTTCCTCATCATCTCTGACAACAGTGTAGCAGTACACATACACAAACGGCCAAAAAAAGACTGAGCATCTTAAAAAGCTGAATATTGTGAAGTTTGTCAAAGAGGTCAACTTTCATGCTCATTGAAGGTAAAGTAAATGGGTCAATGGTCTGTACTGGTCTGGGGTGCTGTATCACCTACAGTGACAGACGTCATGAGGAAATATGAAAAATACAGACCCTGCAATTAGAGAACGAACCCAAATGATTGCCTAATCCCCTGCAAACTAGCACTTGTCAACAGAGGGGAGGAAAAACTCCCTTTTAACAGGAAGAAGCCCCCATCAGAGCCATGCTCAGGGAGGCTGAACATGCCATTTGCCCTTTCCACAGTTCAGGGATGAGGGTAAAAGAGGAGGATGGAAAGAATGCTAGAGAAGGGTTTCGTGGGAAATCCCACCTTTCAAGTATTCAGAGAAATATCTCTCAAGTGCCACCTGCTGTGCCTCTGGCTGAATTGTAGACAATTTAATTGAAATTAATAGCAAGTGGAATGACTGTCCTACATCGACTCCTGCTACTCTCCTCTCAGTTCCAGCCTTTGTCAGCATGACATAAACGCTCCCAGAAAAAATGAGAGATTTAACAGCTGATAGTCAAGCTAGCTTCCAAAGACAATTACCAAGTGCAGCCAGAGGGGGGCAGTAAATTTCAGGATAGATGTAATCGGGCAATATGAGATCTGTTTTGGTCCAAAATGCTGGTCTGAGCTGTAAGGACAGAGATTGTTTTCACTTTAGTATCATTTTAATTGATGTCTGTTTTTATATTTGCTTGTATAAGACACGCTATTTTCTTGTTGGGAAGCCAAAATCAGAAGATTTTCACCATCGCTGTCTTTAGTTAAACACTTGTCTTTCACAAGTCATTAGCCAGTGAGCATACCATGGTTAATCCTCCCTTTCTGACTGTAATGGGGGCCATAATCTACTAAATGAATATCACGTTGCATGCGGTGTGACTTGAAACTAGCAACAGAAGCCATGAACTCATCAGGCCAGCAAGGATCATTTTACCATAAACTTCCAAACAGCTGATCTTCTGTTTGCCAACAGAGGAGTCACACAGGTTTAGTAGAATGCAGGTTTAAGACACCTCCACACTGGCTTCTTTGACTTTTAAGAGCTGAATGTTACATCCATCTATTCAGTCTATACACTGAGGTTAAGACATGAACCATGTAGTGCTGATCCAGTTGAGTTAAAGAATGTAATGATAATCGAATGAACGGATGTCCTTTAGTAGGACTGAAGATATTTTAAGCTTTTAATCAACCAGGTGTGTTTTTCCGCAATTTGTTTGTTATTACTTATTACTCTCAACTTCTCTGATATTCCCTCCAGCTTCAATTTGTAACACAGTGGCAGCTTTTTTTCATCACTTTTAATAATAACAATAATAATAATAATAATGTATACTTTATTGATCCCCGTGGGGAAATTCCTCTCTGCATTTAACCCACTCACTCAGTGAAGCAGAGTGAATATGACCTTTGTTTGGTGTGTGTGTGTGCATTACATGAGCCCTTACTCTAGACTTTTTCTGATTAAAGACTCCAGGGACTCCAGTAAATCACACTCACAGCATGTTGCCTCTAATCCATCCTAACCTCCTCCAAACTGTCTTTTGGGCTGAGTAGAAATGAACATGACTTTTTATAGCAGAGGGCTGCGCTTTGGGCCTGGGGGTCATGTTCTCTGCTTGATTTGCACTCTGCCTCACTCACCTGAATCATGAGAGGAGGTGTGATGCTGCTTTTGCAAACACAGAGGGAAACCAGGTTAGCTCACAGCTTGGTGTTTGGCTTACACTCTCGCTTTGCAGTGGTTGTATATGAGCAATCCATCCTGCCGCGACACACTGCATCAGTCAGGTGTGTCATGCATTTCCTTGCTTTTCTCTTTAGTGCACACTGCAGACCTGTGATGGAAGGCTTGGATCAAAGTAGAGATAAAATGAGTGAATGTGGAAGCAAAAGGAGGAGAAACGGGAAGGAAGGGACTGAGAGCAGAACCGCCAGGGCTGATGAAAGAGACAAGGAAAACGATTGACTGAGGAAAAGAAACCTGTGTGTGTGAGTGTGTGAGAGAGAGAGAGCGAGATCCAAGCACGTTCTTGCCTGCTACCACCACATTTCCTAGAATTGAGCAAACAGGCTATTAAAGAGATGGCACAACAAGAACAGTGAGAGCCAGCTTGTGTAATGTTAAGTGTGTGAAAGAAGAGCTGCACATGAATACACATACATGTGGTTTATTGACTCAGCAGCCAGTATATTGCTTTTAGAGAAACCTTTTCTAATTAAAGCTGCTAACAGGTCTGTGAGTGCATACATTGTTAAATACAGCTAACTCCAGGCGGAGCAGAGCCTCTAACCCACTATCTTAGTGCAGACAGACAGGAGATCACAGATGGGGTTTTTTTCCTTCGAAGCATTTCACATTGCTCTTCTTAAGTCGGTCGTCATCTCTTTAATAAGAGAAGGCTGATTCAGAGAGCTGAGGGTTCAAATCAAAACCCTCAGCTCCTCTTATCTCTGTTATGGGGGTGGGTTGGGAGCAGGCGCGAGGGCTTCGCCGCGCCGCTTTCCAGCATCAGTGCTATGATACCTGGGTAATTGCTGTGTAGGGTTTACACACATCAGTGAGCAGTAACTAGGCAACTGGCCAGCCTGCCGCTGAAAGAGACAGAGACTTTCTTTCAGTCACGGGTCTGTCTGTTATAATCGACTCATTTCGGAGGAGGAGCTGAGGAAACAGAGCAGGGACTCTGAAGTGTGTCTGCTTACAAGGGACCTGAAAGGACGGGAGACAAGATCACAGCCTAATGGCATGGAAAAAGAAAGGGTTCACAGTTATTGGTTATTTGAGCTGGTGTGCAGCACACAGGTATTTTCAATTTGACAAAACTTTTAACACAAAATATCTCGGCATGATGGAAAACTAATAATTAGTTATCATGGTTTGTGTGTAGCCTGTATTGTGTATTTACACGACTTCTAAGACTGACTCGAACCATAAATGCAGTAT